GGATGGCAAAGGATCCTTGACGATGAATGCCCAGCATGCACCACCCCGAGATCCAGCCGAATGTAAGTTTGGCATGTATGCAAGTATGTCTGTGCGCATGTCGGCACACTCAGGTGTGCAAGCATATATGTGTAGAGCAATAACAAGCATAGTCTTCTGCTGGGAACTTTGCTGCTTTCCGTGGACATGTGCAATAAGGGATCCTGCTCGATGGTGGAATACTGTTCGGAGATGTCGGAGTGCTTCCTGAGGTGGACAGGCGCAGGGCTCTCTAGAAATGGCTCTCCTCGATTTTGAGAGAGTCTAGCAAGGGAGCGCTACAGGCTCAGCCGTACATGTTGAAACCTCTTTGGCCTTGCAGAGAAGCTTAGCAAAGCTCTGAAGCAAAAACAGGCCCGTCAAACCCGAACCCAAAGCCAATCAAAGCCCTGAGTTCTTCAGGAAAAGCCACCAACCACAAAAACGAAAGCCCCCATAAACCCGCGAGAGTCCCCCGAAAGCCTAAACTCAAAAGGCCCAAACAAAGAAAACAGAAACCCTGTTGAACCCTACACCCTAAACCCTAAAAGAGCAGGAAATCCGAGGAACAGGTCGGCTCGGCGCTTCTTCGCCTGCGTCGACTTGAGCCTTGCCAGCGCCCGTTTGCCAGCGCTTTTCTGGTCTTCTTCGCGTTGGGGGGGGGGAGGGAGCGTGATCGTTTGGGAGGGGGTGGGGTGGGGGGGTCGATTCAGCTAGTGTTGTGGTAATTGCGGAGTAGGACCTCCAAAATCGAACTCCGTTAGAACTGTGCCTCTTGGATCACATCAGAGGGATTTGGTCTGGCCTTGAAGTGTCGAGGTTTACAAGGTGTGGAGTTCAGGATTTAGAGCGGGGCCAAATCTCTGAGGTTTGGTCCTCCAGGTGTCAGATTCCGTAAATCGCTTGGAGACGGGCTATCCGGTATAGGGCTTCGGGTACTATGACCCGGATTTGCAAAAAAAACTGACCCCTACCATACACACGGCTTCTTCTAGAGCACACCCCCCTGCCCAGACCAGGACTTACCTCCAGTCCCAAGCCCCAGGCCCAACAGACAACTCCTCCCCAAATCGGGAGCACCGCAAGACATGAAGCTCGCTCTTGGCTGCCGCCAACTGATCCTCGAGTGGTGGCTCCTCTTCGTCCACCTCCTGTTTGGAGCTTGGCTGGATTCAAAACAGCGCTACATGATGGCTTTTGTGGTTGCTATGGTGCTATCATTGCTCTCGGACCATGGGACTGCCCCGAGCCAGAGGAGGGAGGAACGGGCAAGAGCCAAGCATGTCAGGCTTGACATGGAACGGCATTGAACCTCCGAGCCCGCCCTGGCTAAACCGCGAACCCCTACACCTCAAACCCTCAGCAAACGGCCAAGGAAGAGTCTTTAATGACAGGCGAGCGTTGCAGTTCAGCAGCAGGCAAGGGCGAAACAGAACACTTTGAGGATGTCACTGGTGTTTGCGCAGATCATCCGCGTCTGGAGAACACCCCTGCGGCCCTTGACAACAGGCTTGTGAAAGGACCCTTTCTGGGGCCTGCCGGTGGCGGGAAATCGTCTGGGCCAGAGCTGTCATCCACGGGATCTTCCTTTTTTGGTTCGGGCTTCTGTGATACTGTAACCCACCGGAAGCCGGCCCGCCCTTCATTGCAGGCTCCGGCCTCGAAGGGGAGCTTCAATTTCACATCCTCTGCATCGGGGCATATTTCTCCCATCAACTCCACTGGCTCCGACTCCTTAAAGATGCCTTTGCGCGTGCACCGGGACACCAGGAGGAGTATCTCTGGAAGCTGCTCAATGCTGGCCTTGCCCTCGTAGTCATGGTCGAAGGCAGCCTTCCATTTGTAGGGATCCCAGTCTGGACCCTGAACCAAGGACGTAATCTCCCTCTCGTGCACGTGGATGTGGAAGGTTCCGTCTGAGCGGAACTCTGCTTCCACCTCTGCCGAAGTGTTCCGGCCTGCAGGACCACCGCCCCTTGCACGGCCTCCACCAAAGAGCTTGAACGTGCCCGAAGGGAAAGCAGAGATCACTTGGGTCAAGACAGTGCCGTTCGTAATCCCATGTTCGGACAACAGCCAATCATTTTTCAGCTCCTCCACACCATGCAAAAGCCTAAGGTGCGCAACGGGCTCATGCATTCTCCCTATAATGTCATCCTTTACCTTTGCTACTGTGTCGGATTCGGAGAATGGCAGCTCCAGTTCTTGGCCACCGGGTGTGCAGATGCGAAGCGTTCCAGCCATTGTCACTTCAAGGGCTGCTTTTGGTATCACTCACTTGAAAGGGACCCCATGAATGCGGGCCTGGAGCGGACGTCGTTGAGCCGCAACGGCCAGACACTTGTCATTTCGGCGAACGATGATAGCCAGCTCAATCACACTTGCTTAACTTTGGCACGGCTCTGCAGGGCAAAGTCTGTGTCCAGCAATGCAAAGGCAAACACAGATACTACCTGCGAGGCAATATTGTTCAGGACGAAGCAGGCACCTCCCTACGAGGATATCTTTGCACTAGCCTCAGGCAGCATATCTTCACGATGCGGCATATGACGTTACATTCCGTCTGGCCCAGCCATCGGAACACTGTGAAATCCTTTCCCGAAATGTGATGTCTCCTCATCTTCCACTTCCAGGTCGTCTTCCAGTGCCTGGTGCTCAGCAGAGGCTGGAAACGACATGGGACACATACACCTGGAACGAAACAGGCATGCACATCTAGTTATGTGTAGATATGGACCGGTGAACAGATAAGTAGATAGCTGACAGATGGAGAAACAAGTTCATAGATCAGAAGTAGATAAACAGATCGATGAATAGCTAGCTTGCTAGCTAGATAGCTAGCTATATAATAAATGGATGGATGGCTGGCTGGATGGATGGATGATAGGCTGGTAAGTAGGTAAACAGATCGATAGATCGACAGCTCAGATAGATAGAAAGGTAGATAGATAGATAGATAGATAGGTTAGTTAGGTAGACAGACAGACAGACAGGTACACACACAGAGATAGATAGCTAGACAGATAGATACAACTACAGATTCATTGGCTGTTTTTTGTTTGACTGACTGCTAGGTAGGTAGGTAGGTAGGTAGGTAGGTAGGTAGGTAGGTAGGCAGGAAGGGAGGCAGGCAGGCAGGCAGGCAGGCAGGCAGGCAGGTAGGCAGGCAGGCAGGCAGGTAGGTCGGTGGGTAGGTAGGTAGGTAGGTAGGTAGGTAGGTGGGTAGGTAGGTAGGTAGGTAGGGAGGGAGGGAGGGAGGGAGGTAGGTAGGTAGGCAAGTAGGTAGGCACGTCGATATGTAGGTAGATACATATACAAAATTATGCAAACAGATCAACATGCAATGCAGTGTGATACATACGTACATACCTACCCACTTACATAATTACACACGAGTGTATTTATGCAAGTATGTACGTACACACACATATGTACATGTGTTCCTGTACGTACACACATACAGTTTAGCACTCGTGCTCGACCAATGTATACATACATACATACATACATACATACATACATACATACATACACACATGCATACATACGTGGCTGCATGAATACATATATACATACAAAAAGACATATACATACATACATATATATATATATCAGGTGAAATGTGTACAACGACATCATATCAGAACATGTCACTACAGTCACACTACACCACAAGGCAATTAAACAAATGAGCAGAGTTCGATAGAACGGAGTCGAATAGAATTATTGAATTGAATGCAGTGTGTACATATGTATAGCATATGTCATTCATGCGTATATACATACAGATGATATGCACATTCATTTCTAAAATGTATGTATTTGCAAGTATGCCTACATGAGAGCACACATGAGTTAAGTTTGTATAGACATACTTACATTCTCAACTCCGCCTGCCCATGCAAACTATGCATCCATTTTTCTCGCGGATCCGCCAAAGCTAACATTGCGAGGGCGACTTGTCGGATCCCACGAAACCCTCGAAGGTCCACCCCGTACCTGACAACAAGCCTGCACACCTCATCGTGCAAAATCGCTAAAGTCAGAACAACTAGACCCCAAACGGTACAGTGCCGAAACGTCAAACCTCCCGCAGGCAAAAGCACACTCAAGTCCTTCGCAGTGCTATTCCACCAGAAGCCCGACACATCTTGTAGCATGATAAGCTGGAATGCTTCAGCAATCACGAACATCGACGACCACCAAACAAATCCTGACGGAAAACGCATCTAAGCAATCAAAGCAGTTTGGCCTTCGATCTGTTGATACAACATCCTACCAGCAAAGACTCTAAAGGGCTAGAATACTACTCGCGCTCAGGGCTTCTATGTGCTATAGTATGCTATATCACTTGTGTATGTATGTATGTATATATATATATACATATATATATATATATGTATATGCTCTCGGGTCC